TGTCTAATTCCCTCTCCCTGGTGATCTTCATTTCTTGAAAATTTTAGCCTTTGCACAAAATGCAAAAAAAAAAAAAAAAAAAAAAGAAGAAGCACAATTCATGAAAGAAAAAAACTGATATAACTGGACTTCATTAGAATTAAAAACTTCTGCTCTGTAAAAGACTGTTAAGAGAATGAAAAGACAAGCTCAAAACTGGGAGAAGATATATGCAAAAGGCCTCTCTGAAAAGAGTTTATATCTGCAAAATATATACAAATACATTGAAAATGTGTATAAGGAACTGCTAAGACTCAACAGTAAGAAAACAAACAACCCAATTAAAAAATGGGATAAAGACCTGAACAGGCATCTTAACAAAGATATGCAGATGGTAAATCAGCACATGTGAAAAGATGCTCCACATCACATGTCAACAGGGAAATGCAACTTAAAACAATGAGATACCACTACATACCTATTGGAATGGCCAAAATTTAAACACTGACAACACCAAATGCTAGCGAGGATGTGGAGCAACGGGAACTCTCATTGCTGGTGGGAACGCAAAACAGTGCAGCCACTTTGGAAGACAGTTTGGCAGTTAAATGCAAAACGAAACATAACCTTACCATATGATCGCGCTCCTTGATATTTACAAAAAGGAGCTGAAAACTATGTCCACACACAAAACCTGCATGTGGATGTTTATGGCAGCTTTATTCATAATTGCTAAAACTTGGAAGCAACCAAGATGTCCTTCAGCAGGTGAAGGGACAAATAAACTGTGGTACATCCAGACAATGGAATAGTATTCAGCAATTTAGAGGGGGAGGAAAAAAAAAAGAGCCATCAGGCCAGGAAAGACCTGGAACAACCTTAAAAGCACATTCCTAAGTTAAAGAAGCCAGTCTCAAAAGATCAAAACTCACAGAACGTACAACACCTGGATTGAACCCTGATATAAACTGACTTAATAATAAGGTATCAATATTGGTCCACCAATTGTAACAAACGTACCACATTATGGCAAGATGGAAATAATAGAGAAAACAATGTGCTAGGAAGATGGAGTGAGAACTCTGTACTTTCCCATCAGTTTTTTCTGTTAAGACTAAAACTGCTCTACAAAAATAGTTAATAAAAAAACAAGCTAGCAAGCTATGAAAAGGCATGGAGGAACCTTAAATGTATGCTGCTAAGTGAAAGAAGCCAATCTGAAGAGGCCACACACCGTATGATTCCAACTACACGACATTCTAGAAAGGCAAAACTATGGAGACAGTAAAAAGATCAGTGGTGGCCGGAGGCTGGGGGCAGGAGGGCAGCGGTGCGTGAGGGCTAAGGGAGAAGGTGAATAGGTAAAGCACAGTGGATTTTTAGGGCAACCAACTATTCTCTATGATGCTGTAATGGCAGATACATGTCATTATACATCTGTCAAAACCCACTTAAAGCACAACACAAAGAATGAATATTAATGTATTGCTATTGGTTCATCAATTAACAAATGAACCACGTTAAGGCAAGATGCTAATAACAGTGGATTTCTATACTTGTAATCAAATTACCATTAAGATAGTCTTCTATGCACTACCAAGAATAGAAAAAAATACTGCCAATAAACTATCATGCCACCATGTATCCTGACTTCAGAAATATTAAAAAGTGGAAACCTATGTGACTTAGTATATACCTACCCAATCCAGTATATACCTACTCAATGTATACCCTTCCACCCACCTGGAATACCCTTGCTTCCCAGCTCACTAATTCCACGCATCCTTCAAGACTAAGCCCCAACCAACTCTATTCTTTCCTGAATCAGCCCAAGGAAAACCCAGAATGTGGTAATTGCTCTCTCTACTGTTATTTAATGTTTAACTGTGTAAGTCTTATCTCCCCAACAAGATTACAATGAGGGCATGAACTTTTCCTTACAATGTTTCAGATCCTTCAAAGAACCTTTACAAATAAACATTTTAAATATTCATTTAATTTGGGGGAGGAAAAGATGTATTTATTCAAAAAGTGGCAACTATTCAGTTTCCACTAAACTTAAGAAGGGCAAATTTGAAACAATAATTTAAGACGTGGGGGAAAAAAGACCATTTGAAGTTTTTGTTTTTTAAATGAGGCAAAGGACTTATGGTGCAGCCAAAGAGAATTAAGGAAAATGAGCATATGTGGGTACGCAACATCATTAGTTGTTAGGAAAACAAAATTAAAACTACAATGAAAGTACATACCCACCGGAACTGCCAAATTAAAATGACTGACAATGCTAAGTGTTGGCAAGGAAGTGGAGCCACTGAAACGCACAGAACGAGGCAGAGTGCCCTGGAGCTAAACCCACGTGCAACGTGTGAGCAGCATGTGAAAGCATGTGTCCACCCAGAGACACATACAACAAATATGGATCAACTGTGCTATGTACGTTCAGACAATGCAACCAGAATAAGACGAAGGATCCCACCTCTCAGACCAAATGCTGAGCCACAGAGGCCAGTCCAAAAAGAGTGGCCTCTACGCACAAGAAGTTCAACAGGCAGAACTGATCTGTGGTAATAAAGGTCGGAATAGTAGTTACCTTTGGGTAGGAGGGCTTAGAATGGAAGGGTGCAGATGGGGGCCTCTGGAATGCTGGGCATGTTATTTGATGGGAGTGGTGGGCCCACGGGTGTGTTCACGTGTGAAAATCCTTCCAGCCGAAACTACAGTTAATTCCCTGCCCAGATTCCGGTACCAGGCCAATCCCCCCCCCCCCCCCCCCCACCAGCCACTGCAGTGGGCTCCTTACTGCCACCCTCTCTGGAGAATTACACTCTCACCCACCCCAGGGGCAGCCTGCAGACAACGACTAAATGACACAGGGATACAAAATGCCAGCCCCCTCACCTCAAGAAGGGACAACTCTGTGATGCCAGCCACGCTCCAGAGTTGTCGGTGGGATCCGGCTGAAGATAAACGCCAACCGAGAAAACCCCTTGTCCCCTGCCCTCCCCTCTTCCCTCCTCAATTTCACCTGCACAAGGATTTCCTCCTCAGGCTTCTAGAGGCATGGCCTAAGACACAGACACTTAATGTCTGTGACCCTGACTGTATGTTAAGTCTAAACCTCAATGAAAAGGGAGGTAAAAAGGGGAAAAAAATTGTTTCGCACAGCTGAAAAGCAAGACGTGCAATCTCCCCTTGAGATTCTGATCAACAGATAACTATTTTCCTTAAAGAAGAGATGTGTTACTTGGTGAGAAAACAGAATCAACACCCTAGCAGGACCTGCCAGGGCACTCCTGTCTGTAACAGAAGTCACAAAGTCCTACATAAGTGAGGTGACATGGATTCTAAGGTGGTGACCTGCCCCCAGCTTGCTATGTGGCTGTGCTATCACTCAACAGCTCTTTATCCCACCTGTAAACTAGATCTGGCCCAGAGGTTCTCCAAGGCCCCTTCCAATGGCATAAGTCCTTTGATCTCATTTGGAATTTTCATGAATACCCAAGCCACTGAATGTGACCCACGCCAGCCCTGCACAACACCTACACAGCACCTAGTCTGGCACCTAGTTCTGCAGCCTCCAACCAATCACCATCATGCAAAACCCGAAGCTTATAAATTATCAGCACACTTCCTTCCCACATCCCTGCTGGGTTCCCCTCCTCTACCCTCAGAAACCATCATGCACATACCCCCATAGTACAATTTAAAGCGGATATTCTTACATGGACTTGAGCATCCGCTCAGTCATGTGCCAACCCCGTCGTTAAGTGTAACATACAGAATACACTAATACAGAAGAAAAAATAGACGAACCACTGAAAGAACACTTTAGAAAATTACTTAGTAAACAATCTGCTAATTATACTCACTTGAACTTTTCCAACACTCTAAGCAAGGGCGACCACACTTTATTTTTAGTCTGATAAAACTAAAACAGGCAGGGAAGGGATCCAGTGGAGAAGTGGTAAAAAGCAAGCAAATGAAGCAACACTGACGCTGAGCTACTTGTCAGCAATTCCACCGAATCAGTAAATGCCAGTCATCAGAGAGGACAGCACAGTAACTAGTTTGTACGCCCTTATTCTACACTGTTATCCTAAGAATAATCACACGACCAGTTGTAACAGAAAAAAAGTGCTAGAGTCTCTCCAGAAGTGTTTCCAAAAGGCTGGTAAAGGACGACTTTCATGGCCTTGGATTCAAACACGTGGCCTATGATGAGGAGTTCCGCCTCAACTTCAGAGACTGTTGTCATGAACAAATACATTCTACTTACTTTCTACAACAGACAAGACCCCCACGTAGTACTCTAAAAGCAATCACCATCAGTCAAGTGTGATAAAGTATCTAAAGTTCATTTCTGAAAGAAACACTGTGTCCTTTGCCCCGAGTTTTTCACTACCTAAGTATAAAAGGCCGTCCACCCTCAGCATCGTTGCAGCTTCTGGGCGATTCCGGTCCACAAAGCCCTTTTTCCATCAGCTTTCCTTCCAGACGCGCTTTGAGCCGTCGGAG